AGGCAACCTTCGAAGCACCTTCTTGGTGCCCACCAGTTCTCAGCTTAGGGACTTCCTGAGCCAATGGAGGCATCTCCACCTCTGTGTGTAACAGCCTTCGGGTTTTTCTTGAGTGGATTTCCCTCATCGCTTTTAGAAGCTGTTTATCCTTCTGCTGTCCACATTAGCCCGTGGCAACGAGTCCTACACTGCTTCTAACTGGATGCTGTGCAACAAGTACTCCCTAATCTGTTCAGTCTCTCCTTGAGTCCTGTTTCTAGTGCTTGTTCTGCTACAACGTCGTCTTTCTTTCGCCTTTTCCCTTAAAAGGAGAAATGTATAGGTTCCGTGTGATTGCTGTGAACAACTACGGGGAGAGCCCACGCAGCGCAGCGTCTCGCCCGTACCAAGTAGCCGGCTTTACCAGCCGGTTTTCCAGCCGCCCTATCACAGGACCTCACATCGCTTACACCGAAGCCATCAGTGACACTCAGATCATGTTGAAATGGACGGTAGGTATCACTGTCTCCTGTTCTTCTCGCAGTTACAGGCCAGTTTTTACTGCTTTGGCTCTTAAAAGTCAAGGATTAAGAGCTGATTGCGGAGTAGTGAGTGGTGGTTTCCCCCGCCCCGAGACTCGGAGACGATCTTTTTCCTAGAAGAGGGCTAAGACACCTCGTGCTTGTACGGTAGAATCGGGTAACTTGTTGGGCCGTATGCCTCTCGAACCCTTTGCTCCCCATTTCCAAACCCTTTTTCCTCCTCGGAGGCAGCCCTCTCGGTTGTTTGCTGCCTTTTGCGCCGTCTCCCAGCCTTCTCTCCCCGTCCAGCTCCCCGGGGATGCCAGGCACCACCTCCTCGGGTTACGCCAGATGTGAGCCCCCCTGGCAGCTCCAGTGAGAGGCTGCAGCTGCCTGAGGTCCACCTGCTTTGGCACAGGCACAGCAAGAGGCACCACTGGGCTTAACTCTGACCAAACCCCTGTTCGTGCCATGGGATGCGCGGGAGTTGCCTTCGTTTCCTGCAAT